ACCAGATGGCCTTCCTGGATGTCCTCGTCTGCCTCAAAGATTTTGATGGCCTAAAAACCAAAGCTTTCAGGAAAGCGACAAATACGACGCAAATACTGAACTTCAACAGCAACCACCCGATCAGTCATAAGCACAGTGGCGTAAGGGCGCTATACCGGCGCGTTGAGACGCACTGAAGTGACGTGGAAGACAAGGTTGTTGAATTATAATATCTTCGACGGGTAATGAGAGCCAATGGTTACCCGCACAGCTTTGTCAATCAGTGCATATGAAAAGGACACCAGAGACCAAATCCAACTGGCCCCAAATTTTGGCGGGCATTTCCGTACGTGAAGAACGTCTCGGAAGCCGTCAGTCGTCTTCTCACTCCACTTGGAGTTGGGGTTGCACACAGGCCGGAAGCAACCATTAGACGCCAAGTCGTGAGGCCAAAAGACCCGCTGCCACGGCAGGAAACGTCTGGAGTCGTTTACCGGATCTGGTGTAGTTGCGGACAAAGCAACTATGTCGGAGAAACTGGGAGAATACTCTGTACGCGAATTACGAGCACGCAGCAGCAGTGAGGAGGGGAGACGCTAGCTCTCAGGTGGCGGCACACTCGACGAAACCCGACCATACTTTCAAATTTCAAGAGACCGAAATGCCGCAGGGAGTGAGAGGGAGCGGAATAACCTCCTCTTACCGTATTCCCTGTTGAGATTTTCCATGAGGAGGGGAATGAGTCACATGGGGAGGGCGCGGGCGAGTGATTATCCCAGTGACAGTGAGCCAATTTGCCGAGCAATCTTCGCACCACCATCCAACACGGACGACAAAATAACTGCAATTAACGACTCGGACTCGGACTGACAAGCCACCATCGCATCAATTACGACCCCAGCGGTGATTGCGAGAGCTGCTAATTACAGTACGCATATGGTCCCGCGGCAGCCACATGCTATAAATACTGCACTCCATGTGCCACCATTACTCTTATCTGCGACTGTCTCTGATGATGGATTCGAGTGAGAATCCGAAACGTCAGGCCAATAAATTTCTTGTTCCAGTGATCGCGCCTTCGTCTTGTGAAACACTTGA